ACGCTTCCCCGGGGCTGACGAGGCTCCTGCACCACCGCCCCAGGCTCGGCGTCGCTGCCGCCCTGGACCTTGCCTGGAGCAGGGCTCCTGCTCCGGCTGCTCCCCATCAGCCCCAGTGCCCGTTCGGGGTGTCTGACCATCTCTGAGCAGAGTCACAGACTGTCTGGGAACAGGCTCTGCCACCCCAGCACGCACCTGGGCTTTATTTACTTTTTTTTTTGCCCCCCCTTATGAGCATTTTTTAATCTTAGTATCTTATAGTTTCTGTTTACTGTAGCTGGTGGAAGGAGCCGGTCAGCTGAAACATCCTGACATCCTTTACACCCGTAAAACATGGCCTTACCACCTATCTGAACACCGGGCCAGGACCCCTCGGACCATCCTCCTTCCTCCGTTACACGGAGAAAATTTGCACCAGGATGATGCATTAAAATCCGTGGCCTGTGTTGCCCTGCTGTCCGTCACACAGCGACCGCCCCGAGCTGCCTGGGTTGTCTCTCCCTGCAGGGGTTTCTCACCGTGATCTGTTTGACACTGTTTCCAGAGTGACTTTACGTTATTGGTACGCGGTCGCATTCCTTGGGTCTGATGCCGTTGCTGGGAATTGCTGATTTCGTATTTATGTCAGAGCAGAGCCTCGCTAAGGTCCTTAGCGCCGCTGCTGGACGGTCCGTCTTCCCCTTGCCTCTCCTGGGGCCCAGCCGGTCCATCTCCCCCCTGCCTCTCCTGGGGACCGCCTGGTCCGTCTTCCCCTTGCCTCTCCTGGGGCCCAGCCGGTCCATCTCCCCCCTGCCTCTCCTGGGGACCGCCTGGTCCGTCTTCCCCTTGCCTCTCCTGGGGCCCAGCCGGTCCATCTCCCCCCTGCCTCTCCTGGGGACCGCCTGGTCCGTCTTCCCCTTGCCTCTCCTGGGGCCCAGCCGGTCCATCTCCCCCCTGCCTCTCCTGGGGACCGCCTGGTCCGTCTTCCCCTTGCCTCTCCTGGGGCCCAGCCGGTCCATCTCCCCCCTGCCTCTCCTGGGGACCGCCTGGTCCGTCTTCCCCTTGCCTCTCCTGGGGCCCAGCCACGGGCTCAGCGGTCTGTCAGGGCACGCTGCGGCTGCCGCGCCTGGGAAACCCGGAGGGACACCTTTCTGGGCTGGCTCTGCTCGTCATCCTGCACGGCTATGATTAGAGACTTATTACCAAATTAGAGGATTAGAAGCGTAATAACGCACAGCGAAACTACTAATTTCCAAAGATTTCTCTTTTTAAAACTAAAATAGAAGCCCTTTGCTAGATGGGGTTTACCAAGAAAAGCTCCGAAGAAGCAGCCGTGAGGAGGGAGCAGCGGAGTGGAGGAATGAGAAAATGGAGCAGGTCCTCATTAGGGTGCAACACATGTAATAATTACTCGGGGAAGCACGGGGGACAGCAGGGCTCATTTCGTTCTGGATCCCACAGCGACTGCAAGCTTGCTTGCGTGTGCAGCTGCTACCGGCCTGGAATATAATTCTACAGCTCTGTCTAACCCCAAAATCCCTTGCACCTTCCTTCCCAGGAGCTCTGGGGAACCTGTATCTCATCCAACACACCGCTTGGGGTTTTTTTTTTTTTGTTCTTCCCCTTGATGCTGAACCACTTGATAAAGCAGTTACTGCTCAGAAACAGGATTTTAGGCAGCTGGTTCAAATTGGACGCCCATCCATGTGGATCAGGCACCTTGACACAGCAGCCATCGCTCCGGCTTCGCAGCCTCCCTTGACAAACTCACATAAGCATCCCCCGATGCTGTTACCAGCTGGTCTGGTTTTCCAGCCCTACCGTTTGCCTCATCCAAGGGACCCCCCAAAGAGCCCCTGAGCTGCTGGCGGGGCCTTCGGGACTCCCCTACCGCAGCCCGCGCCAGCCCAGGCAGGCGGCAAGGTTTTGGGCTCCCAAACTTGGATGCAGAACCTTCTGCAAGCACCGAATCCACCCACCCCAGCCATCGCCATCACACATCACCAACGTCACCCGTTTCAAACTGTTTTGAGGAAGGTTAAGAGTTGGCTGGTTGAAGCCAAGGTTGTGACTAATATTTTTTGGGGGAAAGTACTTTATGTCAAAACAAGTGAATAGTGAAGTGGAGACATGTGGTACAGAGATGCGTGGAGGTAGGGAGGGGCTTTTTTGTGCCAAATTTCCCTTTTGCCTAAAGGGAGAACCCAAGTTGCCTTATTTCTTAATGTAGAATGAGACAGAGAAGGAAAACTTCCTTCTTTACTTCTTTTAGATCCTCACATTTCTAGAAAGATGCTGAATCACACCCTTATGATACGCTGTCATGGAAATGGGCCCCCTTGGCTTGCAGCCCGGCCCGCCATGGGCCAGCCCACCTGTTGGGTTTCAAAGCTGCTGAAGCCAGAAGAGCCCCTTGGGTCCATCCCGCCCGACCCTGGCACGGCGCAGGCTGTAACGGCAACCGCACTCCCGCAACCTCCTTTTTTCGTGGCTCCTTCCCACGGCAGGAGGCTGCAGGTTTCAGGCTTTCCAAGTCTTCCCCCAGCCAGAGCAAGCTGCGCAGGCAGGCGCACGCAGAAGAAAAGTCAGTGGAGCCCAGGCCCAGGGGCAACTGGTGCATCCAGCAGGCAACTGCGACGGGTCCGTTCCTTACGAGCCCCAAAGAGAATGAGCCCGAGTCAGGGATGTTATACGGAAATATTTGGGTTCCGTGACTTCGTAAGTGAAACAAAACCAAACCTTTTAAGTCATTTAGAGCAGGACTCAGCCCTCAGAACTACTTTGCTTCCAAAAGTTATTCAAGCCCTATGGAGCCACATATATTTGCTTATTAACTACGTGACGGCAATAGCAAAGCCTCCTTCCTCTCTCTCAAGCTCAAATGTGGTATGTAAAATGGCAGGGCCTTTTATAGCCCTGTGCCCACAAAGACTCAGCTGCAGAAGTCATTTCCTATTTACATCAAAAAAAAAAAAGCCCAGTTCAGCAAAGACGGCCAGGGCTGCAGCCAGCAAGGTGCTGTCTGCAGGTGTGGACGCGTGATTCACCCTCCCGTCGGCAGCCCGGGGCCCCGCTCCAGCCAGCACCCTCTGCCCACAGGTTATCTTCATCCTCCGGCTCCCGGTGCTTCCCCGGGCCCAGGCAATTCCAAGCACACCCAAATAAAGTCCCAAATCAATCCTGTCTGGCCTCACCCTCTTTCCCAGCAGAGGGTTTGGATCGCTTCCATGTCTCTTTTTCCCTTCCTCCCAGAGGAAGTTGTCCTGAAGAGAAACTCCCTTTGAAAACCTGAGCCAGAAGATCGGACATCGCCTTCCCGCCCCGCTCTCCTAATCTCTCCTCATTAGAGTAAGGACCCTCCAAGTCTCTCCCACTTGGCTTTCCTCTTCCCCCCCAAAAAAACAGCATTCAGGACCAGCCCTGCTACCAGCTCCTGCCCTCGTTAACCCCTTCTCAGCCCCGGCGCTATCCGCTCTCGGCCACGCAGCCCGGAGCGGGGAGCACCAAAGCCCTTGCAGCGAGCAAGCTCTGCAGCGCTCGGGGGGAATCCGGGGGAATCTGGGGGGCATCGGGGCCCATTCCCACCAAAACCGACGCCGAGGCGACGGGGAATTAGGTGCTGCTCATGAAAATAAGACATCCCGTGGCATCACAGCTGGCTGAAGCCCGCCAGCTTGGGCTACTCTTTCAAACCTCATCGGAAATACTAAAATACACTGGTTTTTGCTAGCCATCCCGTGGGAACGCTGGTATTGTTCCCAGCCAGCAGCGAGAGGCTGTCAGGATGCCCAGAGCATGACATGACCGGCTCGGTGCCTCTGGCAACCCCAGTTTCACTGGAAATGATGGCGCTGTGCCGGACGGTCTGGTGCTGCGGCTTTGCCACCATCCAGACCTCAGCCCCCTCGGTGCCGATGGGCAGCAAAAGGCACTCGCCGGAGACAGCTCTGAAAAAAGTGAATTTTGTCATTGTCAGCTAACCAAAACCAGGACTCACTTCAGATGATCTTCACAGATAGGCACTGGGGAAATACAAAGCAGGTGACCTCAGGAACAGCCCACCTTAGCAGAGATTGCTCCATTAATCATCTTGGCTGCAACGCAGCATCACCAAAATGAGAGAGGTTTGAGGTTTGCTCTTCAATCTGAGAAGCCGTGTCACATTGTGACTAGATACCGCACTGAAATTCAGCTGCCGGATTATGGAGGTGGAAGACCTTTATTTAGCCCGATCTTCCATCGTGAAACCTCCTCCAGCTTTCCAGCGAAACCCCTTTCGGAGCGTGTCAGAGTGCTGAGTAACAGGACCAGTTCAGCTGACTGCCCTGACCTCCTCCGAGCTGCTCATCCCTGTGTATTTTGGATACCGAACTATTTCCATCAGAAAGCAGCTTCCTCAGAAAGTTACCGGGAAATCTTTAGTTTTTGGTTTTCCTCTGGTTGGTTTGTTTTGTTTTTTTTTAATACAAATAAATTCCGTTCGCAAAGAAAACTCCGAAGCCTCCTCTACCCAGGGAACAATTTGGAAGCGCGCTCTGCGCTCGCTCCGGCGGCGTGCTTGCCTCTCCTACGGCCAGCC